CCCCCCCGGTCTGGGCGCCCGAGATCAAGTACAAGGGTCGGGCAGTCTTCGCGGCTGACTCAGTGTATGCGGACAAGGATTATTCCCTCGGTTTCAACATGACCAAGGGGCTAATCCTTCTTGCCGACATGAAGAAGCACGACGAGCTGTCCGACCTGAAGGTGCTTCACTCGACAGCTAAGTCAATTGTGTTGGTAAGTTCTCCACTCATTTCTTCAAGTTATTGCTCAGTTTTTGCTCGATTTTCTGAATACTCACAATCTTTCATTTGTTTGCAGGCCGTGCAAAAGAACTATCTTGCCCATGAGCGCATGATCGCCGTATGGCAGAGTCTGCGCGAGGCCATAGCTGAGAACAAGGCCCAAACGGCCGAGATAGCGAAGTTGAAGGCCGCGCAGGAAGCAGTTGTAGGCGAGCGAGATAACCTGAGCCAGAAGGTTGACCGAGCTGAAGCGGACAAACAGCGGGCCGTGAAGTCGACGAAAGCCCGGTATCTCGCCGAGCTGAGGAAACTGCGCGATGCCCATAAGGAGGAGAAAGATAAGGCGGTTAGCGACGTCGAAGACAGGGGTTATGCTCAAGGCGAAAAAACATATGAACGGCAAGTGCAGGCGACCAAGGACATCTTTTTCCACTGCGGTTGGAAAGCTGCCGTGGAGAAAGTTGGCCTTGGTCAAGATGCTGACATGTTCCTAAAATCCACCTGCGGCCTTCATACCGACTATATGCAGGCCTATGCGAGCGCCGCGCAGAAGAGGCTCATAGAGGAGGCCAAAAAGGAAGCCGTGGAAGAAGCTGCCGCTGCGCAACAAATCGAGCAAACTTCTCTTGAAGCATCTCAGGATGCCGAAGATCAAGTAGCCGATCGGGAGGTTGTCGCGGTGGAGGGCGCTGATGATGAGTCGGACGAAGGCTTACCCGAGCACACTGCGGAGGTTGCCGAGCAGACTGTGGAGGTCGCCGAGCAGACGGTTGACCTGGAATTGGATTGAAATGCCCCCTCCTATTTCCTGCTTTGTTTTCGTTTCTTTTCTTTCTTTTTTTAATGTAACCGGGCTAGGGCCCCACAATTGTAATACAATTTCCTCAATCAATGAAATTTGAACTTTTTGCCCATTGATCTTCTCTTTTTGTTCAGCTTGCAACGTACAAAATTTCTTGATTCAAACTTTAATATACCACAACTGATAGGCCGGCTAGCCGCGCAATATGCAAAGCTAAAATCAGAATTTCTTCAACTTAAATGTTTGCGGCTACTCTCAGCTCGGTTTTTTTCAAACGAACCCAAAAATTTTCATTCGGTCGAGCAAAAATTACCACTGCCGCTCTGGCTTTGACAACACTTCAAGTCTTGTATTTGGGCGGGCAAAAATCAGCTCAGCCCTAAAGGAAGTTGGAAAAATCACAGTTATTTCACTTCGGCCGAGCCAAACCAGCTCGGCCTTTAAATTGGACAAAACACCAATATTCTGACATGGAGTTGGATAGAACGTCAACATTTCCTTTCTCCGAGCGAAGTCAGCTCGGCCTCTTATAAGTTAGACAAGGCACCAACATAGCGCTTGGCTGAGCAAAGTCAACTCGGCTATTATTTGTTGGACAACACCAACATTTCGTTTTGGCCGAGCAGAATCAATTCGGCCTTAACATTGGGCAAAACACCAATATTTCATTTAAGTTGGTCATGACGCCAACATCCCAATTGGGCGAGCAAAAAACCAGCTCGGCCCTTACGTGAATTGGTCCATACACCAATCATTTCGCTGGACAATAATAGACCAACTGTTGGTGCGGTCCGCTTCTATACCGGCAAGAGAAAATCAGTCCGGTCCCATTCAGGTCGGTCCCTTTGCCCCTGGCATCCACAGTGGCCTTGTATCCTTGCGGTGTCATTGTACAGAAAGATGTGATACAAAACAACAAGAGGGCTATTTTTCATTACAAAAAGCAGTGCTATCCTTACATCAAATGCCAAAAGACTAAAGGTCTAGAAAGCTAAGTAATAAAAGCAATTACATTTTAAAAGTAAAAGATCTTAAGGTTGGCTGCATTCCACGGTCTGGGGACAGCTTTGTCATCTAAATCTTCCAGATGGTATGCCCTTTTACCAGCAAGACCAATCACCTTGTATGGTCCTTCCTAATTTGCACCGAGCTTTCCTTCGCCAAGGACCACCGTGTTGCCCAGCACTTTTCTTAAGACCCAATCCCTGATCTTGAACAACCTGGGGTACACAGCCTTGTTGTATTTCTTGGAGAGTTCTTGCTGATAGGCCGCTATGTGGATTAGTGCCCACTCTCTCCTTTCCTCGGCAAGGTCTAGCTCTAATGCCACGGCCTCATTGTTCAAATCTGGCTGGAAGCTTTCAGACCGGATGGTTGGCATGCCAATTTTCAATGGGATAACGGCTTCCATGCAATAGGCCAAGGCAAACGGAGTCTCTTTGGTCGACCGTCTTGGCGTGGTGCGGTACACCCAAAGTACGTTAGGGAGTTCTTCAGCCCACTTCCCCTTGGCCTTCTCAAGCCGCTTCTTCAGCCTGTCCAGGATGGTCTTGTTTGAGGCCTCCACTTGACCATTTGACTGAGGATAGGCCGGCGTTGAATTGTAGAATTCGATCTTCAGCTCTTCGCAAAATCCGCGAAAAAGTTTCCTATCGAATTGAGTGCCATTATCCGAGATGAGGGCCTTGGGTATACTGAAGCGAGTGATAACATTTTTCCAGACAAACGTCTTCACATCCTTTTCCTTTATGGTCGCCAGTGGCTCGGCCTCAACCCACTTGGTGAAGTAGTCCATGGCAGCAATGAAGAATTTGCGATTGCCCGGTGCTGCTGGGAGTGGTCCAACAATATCTAACCCCCAAAGCGCGAACGGCCAAGGACTTATAAGGGGGAGCAATTCTCTAGCTGGCTGGTGGATCTGGTGAGTGAACTTCTGACACTTTTCACACCTGCGAACGTATTTCTGCGCGTCTCCCTGCATGCACGGCCACCAATAACCTTGGGAAATTGCTCGGTAAGCCAAAGATCTGTCCCCAGTATGGCTGCCGCAGATGCCTTCATGGATCTCATAGAGAAAAACTTCCACCTTGGCTGGATGGACACACTTCAGATACGGCCCGGTAAAAGACTTCTTATGCAAGGCTCCGGACGGGGAGAGCCAAAACCGCTCTGACCTGGCCCGGATCTTGTTGGCCGCCTTCTTTTCTTGCGGTAGAACTCTATCTTTTAGGAAGGCGATAATGGGATCCATCCAGGAAGGACCCAAGTCGGCGCAGAGTACCTCGGTCGCTTCTAGTTCCTCAATACTTGGCCGAGGTAAGAATTCTATCATCAAGGGGTTAGGAAAAGCTGTCTGAGTAGAAGCAAGTTCGGCCAATTCATCAGCCGTGTTGTTTTCTTCGTGGTTGATCTGTTCCACTCTTATGGCCTCGAACTTCTTGATTTCGGCGTGCACCAGCGCCTGATACTTCGCCATTCGCTCATCCCGGGCCTCATACTCCCCTAAGATTTGATTGACCACCAGCTTGGAATCGCTGAATACCATAAGGGCTGACGCTTTCATTCTCAATGTGCTTCTTAGTCTGGCAAGGAGGGCTTCATACTCCGCCTCGTTGTTGGATGCTGGGAAGCCGAGCGTAATTTCTTGCTCGATGATCAGCCCATCTGGTGAAGTCAGTACGATACCCAGCCCGGCCCCATGCCTGTTGGATGCCCCATCGACGAAGAGCTTCCACATCTCGCCAATAAACAGCTTCCAGCAATCAGAGGGGTTCTGGGAACTTCTCAACCCCAAGTCTTTGATCGGTTCATTCTGGTCTCTTTCCCTGCCTTGGTTGAGTCCGTCTTCCACGAAATCGCCCGGCTCCTCTAGTTCGGTCGCTCTTCGCCCTTCTCCCACTTGCGAGCCAACACTCGTCTCTATTGCCAAAACCATGGGCTGCGCTGAATCTGCACCAGCCAAATCAGCCGGGCAAACTGGATGCGTTCCAGGGGCAAATTCCGCCACAAAGTCTGCAAGAGCTTGAGCCTTGATTGCGGTGCGCGGGCGGAACTTGATATCGCACTGCCCCAATTCCACGGCCCATTTCAAAATTCTTCCGGTGAAGTCTGCCTTTTCAAAAAGCATCTTAAGTGGAAACTCGGTCAACACAACTATTGTATGGGCATGAAAATAGTGCGCCAGCTTTCTTGATGCCATCATCAGGGCCAGCGCTAATTTTTCCAGCGGAAGATATCTCATCTCGGCTGGGAGCAAAGTCTTGCTTGCATAGAAGATGGGCAAGTGCTGGATGCCTTCAGCGTGGACTAGGACGGCGCTCACAGCATGTTGAGAGACTGCCAAGTAGAGATACAACTCTTTGCCTGGCCGGGGAGTGACTAAGATAGGGGCTGAGGAAAGGTACATTTTTAAGTCTGCCAGTGCACGGTCACATTTGTCATCCCAGAAGAACTTGGCCTTCAAAGTTTTAAAGAAGGGCCTGCAACGATCTGAAGACTGGCCGATAAATCTGTTTAGCGCGGCTGCCATCCCGACAAGATGTTGTACGTCCTTCGTGGAGTTTGGGCGCTCCAGCTCTTGTATAGCCTTAATCTGTGATGGGTCGGCTTCGATCCCTCGGTTTGTGACAAAAAACCCCAGAAACTTCCCGGTGCCGACTCCGAAGGCGCACTTGAAGGCATTCAAACGAAGTTTGTGGTGCTTAAGTATGGCAAACATCTCTGCTAGGCCGGTGAGGTGTTGCGACTTTTCCTTACTCTTTACCACCATATCGTCGATGTAGGCCTCTATTGTTCGGCCCAAAAGAGGAGCGAACATCTTTGTCACCATCCTCTGAAAAGTTGCCCCGGCGTTCTTCAGTCTGAACGGCATGACTTTATAACAATACAGGCCTCTAAGAGTAGTGAACGACGTGATCTCTCGGTCCGGTTCATACATGGCTATCTGGTGGTAGTCACGATATGCATCCAGGAAGCTAAACCTCTGATGACTAGCGGTCAAGTCCACCAGCTGGTCAATTCGAGGGAAGGGAAGCTATCCTTTGGGCAAGCACGGTTGACCGTCTTGTAGTCAACGTAGACTCGCCACTTACCATTCTTTTTCGGGACTACCACCGTGTTGGATATCCATCGAGGGTATTGCACTTCTTCTATCGCTCCTGCTTCCAACAAGTTTTTGACCTCCTCTACTACTACCTCGGCATGGTGCAGAGCCGAGCGGCGTGTCCTTTGGATGACCGGCCGTGCATTAGGAAAGACATTCAACTGATGGCAAATGAAGTTAGGGTCGACGCTAGGCATATCGTAAAGCGTCCACGCAAAAGCCTCCATGTTGGAAACGAAGAAGTTGACATAATCCAACTGCTCGGCGCTAGACAAAGATGATCCCAAGAGGAAGAACTTAGTTGGGTCATTCTCGTCGATGCGCACTTCCACCAAATCCTCGACCGATTTTTCCTCGGCCTTTCTTCCTACATCTTCAAGGACCTCCTTTCCCTCGGGTCCCTCAATCATTTGGACAAATCCTTTAGCTGCTCGGCTGCCATTTACCGCAATAAAGCATTGTTTCGCCATCACCTGGTCTCCCCAGACTTTCTCTATTTGTCCGTTTGGCGCCGGAAAGTGCAAGACCTGATGGTAAGTCGACGCTACTGCTTGCATGGCGTGCAACCAGCCCCTGCCTAAAATTAAGTTGTAGGTGGATGGGACTTTGAGCACCCAGAACTCTACTTGCTTTGTGACTGAACCCGCTTTGACTGGCAGTATGATCTTCCCTACCGGCAATTCTGGCTGAGAGTTGAAGCCAACCAAAGGTGACGTCGCAGGGGCCAAGTCCTTATCCTCCAACTTCATTTGTTTGAACGCGTCATAGTACATAATTTCGACCGAACTCCCCTGGTCGATCAAGATCCTCTTGATGTCAAGGTCTTTGACGCGAAGAGTTACCACTAGGGCGTCATTGTGGGGCATCTAGATGCACTCCAAGTCTCTGCTCGAAAAGGTAAGAATGCCCTTCTCCTCGGTCTTCCCTTTTTTCACAGCGGGCCGAACGGAGAGCACTTTCCTCATGTGCTCGGCTTTCTTAATCATCCCTCTGAGCTCGCAGACCCTTGCTGGTTCAACGATGCTGTGGATGACGTTGATTACGCCTTGGGTGCTGCCTCTAGGGCAGCTAGGCCGTTTGGCTCGGTTTGCCCCAATGGCGCGGCTTTCATACCCCCATCTATGTATTGGTCAAGATGTCTCGCGGCCACTAGCTCTTCCAAATGTTGTTTGAGTGACAAGCAGTCCTCCGTTCGGTGTCCCCGCTCCTCATGGAAGGTGCAGCGATACCTTGAGTTGAAGCCTCTTTATGCATTTCCCAACTTGGCCGGCCAGCGGACAAAAGGCTCGCCTCTGATCTCACTCAAGATTCGGTAGATAGCGATTTTAAAGACCGTGGTTATTCTAGTCCGCGCCTTCAATTTTCTCTTAGCATCCTCCGTTACATCACGGGGAGCGTCAGCTCAGTCGTTTCTGCGACCCTTGTTTCTATCATCGCGGTTTGGGCCACGTCATTGATCTTTTGGCCGATCGCTTGGGAGGTTATCCTCCTTGCCCGACCGAGTGAACTTTCCCTGCTACCCTTATGTTCGCTGCGACCGGATTAACCTTCTCGGTCGCGGAGGCGGCATCATCCTCTACACGAATGTGCTCATTGATCCGCTGCATCAAGGCCTCCATGGTTGTGGGTTGGTGCATTGTGAGCGAATCCCGCAACCTATGTCCGACTGGGAGACCCCGCTTGTATTGAGTGATTGCCAGATTGGTAGGGCAGTCGAGGATTTCGTTGTAAGTTTCCCAGTACCTCGCATTGTATGCCTTCAATGATCTCCCTGACTCCATCTTGACGCCCAGAAGATGATCGACCTCCTTCGGCGTTCGAGTGTTGGTTTTGAATCTTGTGACGAAGGCTTCCGCTAGTTACTGCCACCCCTCTATACTCCCTTTTGGAAGCCTTTCGAACCACTTCAGGCCCAGTTCTCCCAAGCTTGCTGGGAATATGAGGCACATCAAGGCGTCATTGCGCCGGTGGCCAGCCATTACTTGCCAGTAATGACTCACGTGCATGTACGGATCCGTTTTGCCGTCGTACAAGGTGAACTTAGGCTAGTGGAATCCGGCAGGGAGTGGTGTACTCTCGATCTCCGGAGACAACGACGTGGCTGTAAGTCTCGCTAGCTCTTTGTCCACTGGCGCATGGGCCATCACTCTGGGCGCTGGCATCGCCACTTCTTCGCTACAGTGAACTGGAGCGCTCAATCTCTGCCACACCGGCACTCTCTGAGCCTCTCGACGGCGCGCCCTCTCCTCCAATACATCCCTCAAGTCTCTAGAAAGGGTGGAGAAAGAGTATTGTGACGTCGGAGACGAGCGCGAGGGACGGTATGTGCTATTTCGAGTGAGGGATCTGCCCTCCTTTCGGTCAGAATCTCCAACCCCATAGTTCCTGGTGATGGAGAGAGAGTGGGTCCTCTCCTGGCGGCGACTGTTAGAATGGGAGGACGGGGTGCGCTCATTGAGGTTGGTCTCTCCAGCAACACCCTTTCCCTTAATCTGACGTCTCAACATCTCCATCTTCGCCGCCATCTCGCAAATGAGGGCATCTTGGTCTTTGAGTTTGTGCTCCAGGCACTGTGCACGGGACTCCCCCCACCGCCGACGGCCCTCTGGACTCTTCGAGCGATTAGTACTCCTTCCGCGTTTGTCTCGCGCACCTCGCGAAGAAGTTTCTAGGTCCGCCATGGCTGGAACATTCGGGGGGCTTTCTCTCCGTCGGACAGACTCTGGTGTGACGCCATCGACGACGAATAGTGGACTTTCGTCGTTGTTGGCCATAGAGATGGTCGAAGAAGCTTGAAAAACAAAGTTTGAGTATCAAAGATCTTCCCACAAACAGCGCCAATTGTACGGGGGTGAAATATCCTCTGCTTTCCGTACTCCTTGGACTTCAAGCTTCACGTGACGGCGTCTTACCTGGTAACACAGAGAACGGTGAGCTGCCCGGCGGTGGTGTGCCAGATAGACCCTCCGACGATCAAGTCAGATCACTTGAGGAAGAAGCAGGCTATTCGAGAGAGAGAGGGTGTTTCAGATAGCGCAAGTTGCTTACCTCTAACGTTCATCTTCCTCCCATATTTCTAGACTGGCCATGCAGCCTCAAGATTGTGCGCGCACTACCTCTGCTGTCCTTCCCTGGACAGGTGGCAGTGCTCGCCTCTCACCACCTCACGTGTGTAAAGGCCTAGTCCTCTAACCAGTACACGCAGAATTGCCCAACGGTATTGACACGTGCTTTGAGCAGATGTCCTCTCCCTCATGCCATTGGCCCAGGTGGCTCACTTAACCAGAGTACCACGACCGGCCTAGTCCTTATGGAGAGTTGCCACCACAAGCAGCACAACCGAGTTGTATCTCGCCGACCTATCCCTCGGGGAAGAAGAGAAAGTCTGATTCTCATGGCTGAGCTACTCTTGGTCGGTCCATCCTGGTTGATCGGCCATGAGGCGTACCGGCCTCCCCCCGTCCTACCTTCATTCTCGGTTATACGAAGTCCGTCCACCTCGGCCAACCGGTTAGAGGCATGCCGGTCCTCGCCCCGTAATCAGTCTAGCTCGGGCTACCCTTAGATCGGTTTACAGACGTCACCGTGTGCCCTGCCAAACGTCTGGTCACAGCTCGGTCAGACCTTAGATCGTGCCTGGTCGGCTAACCTCTTCGGTCGTGCAAAACAGGCTGAAGGGCCGCGTCAAGAGAGAAAACAGCTCGGTGCCGTGCGGTTTGCCACGACCCGTGTTACCGTAGCACGGCCATACTAACCGGTGCAACTCTCCCCTCTCAATTGGCATGACCGTACTTGAACAGAATCTGTTCTATAGGATCGTACCTCTGAATTCTTGAGTTCAAAGGAGACAGGACCAAAAATCTGGTGGGTGAACCGTGGCTACTTAACCAGAGCGTGATTAGTGGTTCTGTGGTGCAGTTAACTGTTGGTGGTTCTGTGGTGCAGTTAACTGGTCCACATATCCGCAGAGGATTGTTCTCAGCTGGTTTGAACTGGCTACGATGGTCAAGTAGTTGTCTGACAGATTCAATATCCCCACCAATCTTTTTGCAATTTTGCTTATCTTGTTTTTTTTTTTTTTTTTTTTTTTTTTTTTTTTTTTTTTTGTGCGTTGGAAGTGCTTTTCATTCAACAAGAAACATTAGTTTGATTTCTTTTCTACTCTTTTTGTGGAGGTTTTTTCCCTTCTTTTCTACTCTTTTTGTGGAGGTTTTTTCCCCTCAATATTCTAAAAAATGAAACTATTTATGAAAATAATTCACTTTTAAAACAATTTATCAAACTAATCGCTTTTATAAAATTGTAATTTGAACTTGAAATTGAATCTTTAACTTGTAATTTCATGTTGACATGTTCTATTTCTCCTTAGCCAACATGAAATCACATGTTAAGGATAGGTTCAAAATCTAATTTCAAAGTGAAATTGCAAGGTGAAGTTTTTTCATAAAATTGGTTAGTTTGATGAATAATTTCAAAAGTAGAATATTTTCATAAATAGTTTAATTTTTTAGAATATTCAGAAAAAGTCCTTTTTTCGCCTAATTTTTTAAACATTGTCCCAATTTTTATCCTTTTATCTGATATACGGAATGAAATTGTGAATCTTTTCCAAATTAAAAAGGTAAATTATACTAATAACAAGTTTCATAATTTTGACATAATTATATTGTTTTTTTTAATGAAGTAAAAATAATTAAAAATTCATGTAAATAATGTGATAGAAAGAATGTATACATATATGTATATATATATATAAAGATGAGGGGGTTAAATACTATGTGACTTAAAATTTTAAACAAATCTAGTGTAATTATGTTAAAAATTATTAGAGTTATTGTATTCTCTAAAAAAAAAACTATAAAAAAAATGGCATAATTTATTGGGGAAATTACCATTCAGGGGATATGTTTTTAAAAATTATCACATTAATGAAAAAAATTATAATTCTAATTATTAATATTTATATTTTTTGTAATTATTTTGAAAAATTTCTTTGTGTAAAAGAAATTGTGACAAGTATGATTAATAATATTTTATAGATAAAGCATGCTTCTAAGAAAGAAATCATATTAGTATATATGTATGTAATTCATTATGTCAATAAATAATTTTTCTTTTATTTGAAAAATAGTTTCAAGCTTTTAATTCCGAAATATATTTAAAACGTCAATATTAAAAATAAAAACATCATGCTTAAGATGACATTAAGATTTTATTATTATTTCTAAAATCATCATCGTCTAGGGATTTTAATTTTTTTAAAAAGTTATAAACTAAGAAATCAAAATTAAAAAATTTACATATTTGGGATTATTCAAATCAAAGTCCTCGAATTTTATTTTATTTTATTTTATTTTTGCCGAACGGGAACTGAAGATGAATTGAATATGTAACGCCCTCAAAATTAACCCATTATATATATATCATTGACATTCATTATTTAAATAAGACAATCTATTAATTCATTCATCAGAGTATTACAAAATAAAGCATTACATGTATCATTGAATAAAATGCCCTACAGGCTTACATCTTTCCAAGCCAACACTTGGATACAAAAATATGAGTTCTAACTCAATACAAGAAAAGCCCTAGGCTTGAATGTTTACATGTACTAATAATTTAAGACAGTTAACTAAAAGTAGTCTTCTTCAATCCAGAAGCCAAACCCTCCCAAGCTAATTCCTTGGAGGTAGTTTATCACCTGAACCTGAAAATGATGTTCCCATAAAGGATGAGCCACAGCCCAGTAGAAATATACTAAACCACATATAAGCAATGAATAAAACAATAGCATTCAACAGATGGTTAACCAAGATAATGCAATTACTTTATTTTACAGTCTCATGACACTATTGTCTAAGAT